ACAAATGTCACTGTAAAATCAAACTTATACTACCCTAAAAGTGGACAATGTTAGAAGGCACCCTGCATGGGATTATAAGCTACTGTCACAGAGGTTGTGGTCCTGTGATGCCCAGCACTTACAGGATGTCCTCAAAGTATTCAAGGGTAAAAACATTTTGTGATGAAAATTAAGTACTGTGGGTGACAGTGCCAGGCAGAAGGTGAGTACTACAGCCCGAGTGCTTTACTTCTTTTTAAAGAAGAACTCCGGGATAGGCAAAAAAAAAAAAAAAAAACACCCATTAGTACACCCCCTACACAAAACACTTAACGGATAATACAATTTTTTAAATTCTTAACATTGGGAAGAAAAGACTAACTGAATTTTCAGGATCTCATCTCTGTAATTCAAAAGATAACAGCATCTGCTCTGCCAAGGAGGAGGTGTAACAGCCGGGATTACATCATATCCTCTCTCTCTGTAGTAAAAGGAAACTACAGTTCCCATCATCCACAACAAATTGTAGTGAATGTAGAGGGGTACACTAGGCCTGTACATGTTGAATGTGTCTGAAAGTCTCGGTCCACCCACCACTGCAAGTGGGGCTGTATGACATCACTGCTTGCTGGAGAAAGAACTACAGAAGGGATGTGCCCAGACCAGTGTCTGGGGGAATAGGAGGCATAACAGCCACCAGTCTTACAAACAGGAAACAAAAGAGAATTAACTGTTTGATTTGATTTGAAAATGAATAGGCTATTTCAGAGAATCTACCGAGTGAACCAGAAGATGGATGACATATTCAGTGAAGGTAGGAAATTGGCAACAAGGACTTGTAAAGGAGTTTTTTCCCCCAGAATTCTGCTTTAACCATAATAGGCCCCTGAGTTGAACCTTTACTGAATTCTTGACACACTCTAGTCTTAGTTTCTGAAAGGAAAAGAGGTAGCTGTAATCCAGCAGTATTATCTTCCATTCAATGTAGTGGAACAATCAATATTAAGCAAATGCGGAAATGCCTTTGAGAAAACATAAATCTGTCCAGAGTCACTAAAAGAAAAATAGTTAGTCTGGACTGGCCTATCTTTGTCTGTCATCAATATTCAAGATTTCTAGTTTCCATAGTAACATTAGGTGCTCAACGAGCATCTTGAGGATTCCAATGCCAATCACTAAAAGTGGTGGGCGGGGCATAGACTTAAAAAGCACTGTAAAATCATTATGATTAAAAGGCACAAAACAGTGTCCCCCTACCGTGTCCTCCTACTCTGCAACTGTTTCGTCTTTGTAAAGAGACTCATTAAATACCACAAAACGCCTTTAATTTCCCTGTCTGGCTGTGAACAAAATAACTGTTGCCTCCTCATGTGACCTAACACCTAGGCAAAAGATCACATGATGCAACTAACAAGAGCAATGTGGGTGCTTCACATCATTAGACACTCTGCAGCAAAAGACACTCTGCAGCTACACACTGTCTGGTAGATTTGCATCAACAAATCAGCAAAAGGAAACCAAGAAACAAATTGTATACATAAGGAGCAACTAACACTGCCTCCATATACACATAAAATTACAAACTATACATGGTGGCATCGTTTCCAAAACAGTAATACAAACAAACACAATTATTTTCATTAGGCCATTACATCCATTTTACATTTACATATAAAAATACAATTAAAAGTTTTAGTCCACCTTTACAGAAAAAATGTAACGGTAACACATGAACACCCCCCTGCCCCTGGTCCCTGCAGTACTTACCTCCAGAGTTGCTGAGCTCTCAGGACCCAAACAGCTGCTTCAGCTGTCTGGGGATTTGTAATCCTCCTCTCTGTACAGTGCATTCCGGGACGGACCAGATCGATTCTGATTGGTCAGCGCCATCACAGTGAATTGATCTGGTTGGTCTGTCCTGGAACCTCTGCACAGAAAAGAGAGGATTTCATACTGGACTGAAATAAAAATTGTTTTTTTTTATAAATTAAATGAATTTAAATTAAAAAAATATATATATACACACACAAATATATATATATACATACACATACATACATACATACACACACACACACACACACATATATTATATACATACATATACACACACACACACGTATATATACACACACATTTATTATATACATACATACACACACACACACACTCGCGTATATATACACACATACATATACACACACACACACACACACATATATATATGGACATACATACATACATACACGCACTGTATGTTTTTCTTTTTTAAAGATGAATTCCAGGTATGGATATTTTTATACAAAATTACATGGTCCAACTTGCATCAATGTAACTATGTATATACCATACCTGGCCAAGGCCCTTGGTTGCTGGAAAACACTGAAGCAGGCACCGCTACCCCACGGATCTCCTCTGGGCCTTGTGCTGAGCAGTCGGCCTGATACACTGTACACACAGAAGAAGCTCGGCTGCTCAGCCTAAGCGGCATTCTGAAAATGCTTCGCATATTCCGGTAGGGCTTTACACATCACCGGATCTATGCTTGAGACCAAGTGGATTTATCTTCTACAGTCCCAAGCTCCACAAGGACTAAATGTAGAATTAGATATCAATTGTTTTATCTGATCGATCTTTAAGCACTTTTCATGATCTCACTTCTTAATCAGATTACTTTTACTTTGCCTTTATCTGTATTTCCATTCGAGTGTTTAGATCGTTTTTAAAAAAAAGTCGATGCACCTTTATCTCTTGATCGCTTTAACATATTCGATGCACCATAATCTCAGTACATTTGGTTTTATAATTGTATATTTCATGGGTATTGCTTTTAACCAGATGTTTTTTAATCCACATGTTTGTCATATTTGATGTATTTGGTTTTTATTCAGTGCCAGAATCACTTCATATATGTGATCCCACTCATTTTTATATTTTTATAACCTTGCCTTTCACCAGGCCGTTTTTTGCTACAAGGGGGCACACAGTATGGTCCACGCATTACTATACTTGCCCCGTGCGTTTTTAGGATTGCAGTATCTTATTCCCAGTAAGATCACTGCAGAACCAACACCTTTACGTCCATACATTCATGTCGGTCTTCTTTAAAATGGCCGCCGCGGACGCTACTGCGCATGCGCGAACGGGCGATCGCTACTGCGCATGCGCGAACCGGCAATTACGGTGCCGCCGCATTGCGGTGTTTTTGGCGCCTTTTTAGGTATAAAACACCACACTTAACACTGGCACAGTCCCCTCTGATGATGTGTACTTACACGATACGCGTTAGGGAAGTGCCAAGCTATGTTTATCTTCTGTACATGTACCTCCGGTCTGGCCGTTTATAAGCAGCTGTACCTTTGCTAAGTAAGTTCTTTTCTGATTGTTCAATTTTAAATAAACGTTATCACACTATTTGAGGCCTTTTTCCACGGGCTCTTTATTTCTGGGGAGCCTGTAAATCCAGTAGGTCCTGGGATTGTGCCTAACAAGAACACACCTGCAGTGACGTCCCTGGATCCGTGATACAGTTTCCCCTGGAACCGATGACATCTAGTGGTCACCCTACAGACAACACCCACCTGATCCATCAACACAGTGGCTGAACACAGCTTCCATCCGGACAGATGACATCTAGTGGTCACCCTATAGATGACACCGCCTTGCTCCAGTGATACAGTGGCTGAGTACCAGGGACAGGTCTTAAATGTCCCATGCGCTTTAACTTGCGCTATCTGGTCAGTGCATTACTTGGCTTTTCTTTATCATTTCTGATATCTACTATCCCTGGCTCTTCAAGTGTTGGAGACTGTATACGTATTTAGCACATCTGATGAACTGACGCCGTCTTTTTTTGCCGATCCACATTCAAATGGGATCTATCTTATGTGTAATCATTGTTTAAGTTAGCGCTGCACTTTCATATTTTACCATTACTCTGGAGGTTCACGAGGTGCCTTTTGTGCCAGCAGCTACCCTATCTACATCCTCATACTGCGCTCGATTTTATATATACATTTATATATAAGTTTATTTCATCCCCCATAGTAATTCATCCCCCATAGTAATTCATCCCCCATAGTAATTCATCCCCCATATAGTAATTTCATCCCCCATATAGTAATTCATCTCCCATAGTAATTCATCCCCCCTATAGTAATTCATCCCCCCTATAGTAATTCATCCCCCATAGTAATTCATCCCCCATATAGTAATTCATCCCCCATATAGTAATTCATCCCCCATAGTAATTCATCCCCCATATAGTAATTCATCCCCCATATAGTAATTCATCCCCCATATAGTAATTCATTCCTCATATTAATTCATCCCCCATATTAAGTCCCCAAGTCCCCCCTGTGTCAATTCACTTACCTTTGCTCCGCGCGTTCCTCTCGACGTGCTCCCGCGCCGTTCTGGTGTAGCATGAAAATCTGTCTCCTATGAGGATCTGTCCCCCTCGACGTATCTGCGCATGTGCCAGTTTCAGGCATTAGCAGCCGATCGGCGATCTCCGGCACATGCGCAGAAACGTCGAGGGGGACAGATCCTCATAGGAGACAGATTTTCATGCTACACCGGTCTTCAGGGCGGACTGTGAGAGGAGCCTAGCGGGAGCCTAGCTCCGCGGGGCCGGATTAAAAGGTCCGCCGGGCCGTATACGGCCCTCGGGCCGTAGTTTGCCCATTGCTGGTATAGACATACGTACACACACAGTGTAACTGTATAAAATATCCATACCTGGAATTCATCTTTAAGCTAAAGCAGAATTGTCCTTTAAAAAAAAAAAAAAAAAAGTGGAGTTTCCCTTTAAGTATCAGCGTGAAAGTGAAAGGAAAAGGGTGCGATGGAGAATCATAACGTCTGAGATCATAAAAGGAATAGTGCACGGCCTCACTACATGCTTCACAAGGTTTTCTAGACATCAGCAGAGCTTGTACTGGAGTATTTAAACAGCAGTACGATATCCTATTTTTAATTAGATCCTCAGATGGTACATCACAATGGCAGAGTATAATTACCGTGTGCTCGAAGCAATGCCTCTGCAGTGAACAGGGGGGCCTGCAGCATGTCAGCCGTTTCCACAATCAGCATGTCCTTCAGACGGCGCAGATCTTGCGGACGAAGTCCTTCATATGGCTTCAGGTGGAGAGATAACACATAGAAAACAAAGAAAGACATTAAACGTCATTAAGCATACTTCATAAGAAAGGAAAAAAAAATACCAGCTTTAGCTGTGAAGAAAGGCATCCGTAGATTGGACTTCAGACAATGAATCACAATTCAGAATCTTGGGATAATGAAACGTGGATGTTATATCTCTTAGATTGTAAGCTCCCAGGATCAGGGCCCTCCTATCCTCTTGTATTGAACTGTATTGTTGCTGTATTGTCTCCCGTTATATTGTAAAGCGCTGAGCAAACTGTTGGCGCTATAGAAATCCTGTATAATAATAATATTCAGCTTTTTGTTTTTAAAAGGGAACCAATCATGATCTTACTTATACAATAATCTTAAAGCAGTATTAAACCCAAAAGGATTAAATATATTGCAGCTTACCAATTCTCGGATGTGATGACTACATTAGTTTTCTTTCTTCTCTTTTCATCTGGTGATCATTTTTCAAAAGAAGAAGCTCTCTTACAGATGTATCATTTACAGGGATGAGACAAAACTATTCAACACTGACAAGGGTGCTTACAATGATCAGTGCTTTTTATTTATGCAAAACCTTAATCCCAAAAGGAAAAAAAAGTTTTCTGTAACTGAATATAAAGTGTTAACTGGAGTTTGGCTTCAAATGTGTTAGTGTATCTAAATCTGCTAGCACATCTAGCACTCCCCTCACCCCAGGCTGACAATGCTGCTCTCCAAAGGTGTCCCATGTGCTCCTTAATCCAGAGTGTCTGTATAATACAGAAGGTGTGTTACAGGCCAAATGACGAGGTGAAAACAAAGGGAAAAACGCCTTAAAAATGAAAACTAATGAAGCCACCACATCTAATGATTGGTAAGGGTTAATTTTGGGTTTAATGCCACTATAAAGTTAAAAGACCCTGTTGCCACACTATTCATTTCAACAAAAATCTTTCCTATGTTTCTATCATCTCTAAAAGTTTCCCTTGTGCAGAAATCCAAAAGCCCTGAGACAGCTGCAGGGCGCTGCCATCTTGGATGTGATATCAGCAGCTCCAGCAGACTCAAGTGACACTCTATAGCAGGGGTCTCCAAAGTTTTTTAAAAAAAAGGGCCAGTGTACTGTCTTTCAGACTTTGGGAGGGCCAGTGGTCCACTATGGCCAGTGGGTGTAGAAAATGTTTTGGGCTTGTTGGTCAGTGGAAGCAAAAAAAAATTACATAGAGCTTGTGGTCAGAAGAAGGAGGAATAGTGTCGCGTCTTTGGTATCAGTGGAAAGAATATAACCCCATCCTTTGTGTCAGAGGAAGGAATAATGCCCCATCAGTCGAAGGAATAGTGCCCCTATCCTTAGTGTCAATAGGAAGAATAGTGCCCCATTGCTGGTGTCAGTGGAAGGAATAGTGCCCTATCAGTGTCAGTAGGAGGAATAGTGCCCCATTGTTGGTGTCAATGGAAGGAATAGTGCCCTATCCTTAGTGTCAGTAGGAAGAATAGTGCCCCATTGTTGGTGTCAGTGGAAGAAATAGTGCCCTATCCTTAGTGTCAGTAGGAGGAATAGTGCCCCATTGTTGGTGTCAGTGGAAGGAATAGTACCCCTATCCTTAGTGTCAGTAGGAGGAATGGTGCCCATTGTTGGTGTCAGTGGAAGAAATAGTGCCCCTATCCTTAGTGTCAGTAGGAGGAATAGTGCAACATTGTTGGTATCAGTGGGAAGAAGAGTGCCCCATTGTTGGTATTAGTGGGTGTGATAGTGCTCCATCTTTGATGTCAGTGGGAGGAATAATATTCAGACGTGGAAGGCAGTATGACCCATCACTGGTACCAGTGGAAGGAATATGGCCCCACTGTTGATGTCAGTAAAAGGAATTTTGCCCCACTGTTGGTGGAAAGAATGATACCTCATCATTGGTGTCAGTAGGAGAAAACAGGGCCTTGTATCAATGACAGGAATAGTGTCCAAAAGGCAGAATAAAGGCAAGAAAGGGGCCGCATCCGGCCCTTGGGCCACAGTTTGGAGACCACTTTTGCCCCAAAAGCAGATGAAGCATTTTTGGAGGACAGCATTATTCATTCTATACTTACATTGGTTCAGCTTGAACCAATGTAAGTATTTATAATTTTATACCTAATATATTGTTAGGGAATCTGACAATCACTGTAGTAGTCAGCACTACTACAGTGATCGCCGCTATCTTCCGGTTTCTGTGCCTGCGTGTGTTGGTATTTTGATACAGATTCGTAATTGCACCCTCTAGTGTTTATCTCTGTATCAGCAAGTATAATTCGCATTCCTGCTTAAAGCTTTACTCCACGTAGGATCTTAATTACACAGTTACGTTGGTCCAGCTTGGCACAATAGAAATATGCATATCTGTTACCGGACTGATCACTGGCGAAACTGGAAATCACTGTAGTACTTGGAACTACTGCAGTGTTCGCCATGATCTTCTGCACAGAGAGAACCTGTGAGGACATCACTAGGTCACAGCTTCCCTTTTGTACATTGACCACAGGGGGTTGCTTGCTCAGTTCTGCCTCCATTCACAGAACTTCTTGTATTTTATTAATGAATGCACAGGGTTTTCTGATTGCACAAGGAAACTAGATGGTAGGATTACATCACAATCTCCACCTTGTCCAGAATGCCTTGTATTCATTAAAAAACTCCTTGTGGTCAACATGCAGTGGGGTAGCCTCTCAGCACAGAGCCCAAAAGATAGCAGCAATCCCTGTAGCAAGACTGACTAATATACTGGTTGTCATCTTCCGCAGCAGCCCATCAAGTATGAAATATGGCCCTATGTAACTATGAAATTAAACTCATACCTGGAGTTCCACCTTAAAGTACAGTGGGGATCGAAAGTTTGGGCACCCCAGCTAAAAATTTGTATTAATGTGCATAAAGAAGCCAAGGAAAGATGGAAAAATCTCCAAAAGGCATCAAATTACAGATTAGACATTCTTATAATATGTCAACAAAAGACCAAGAAAAATATCAGACAGAACAGCTCGCAGGATTGTGAGAAAAACAATTCAAAACCCACGTTTGACTGCACTATCCCTCCAGAAAGATCTGGCAGACACTGGAGTTGTGGTACACTATTCCACTATAAAGAGATACTTGTACAAATATGGTCTTCATGGAAGAGTCATCAGAAGAAAACCTCTTCTACGTCCTCACCACAAAAATCATCGTTTGAACTTTGCAAATGAACATATAGACAAGCCTGATGCATTTTGGAAACAAGTTCTGTGGACCGATGAGGTTAAAATTGAACTTTTTGGCCGGAATGAGCAAAGGTACGTTTGGAGAAGAAGGGGCACAGAATTTAATGAAAAGAACCTCTGTCCAACTGTTAAGCATGGGGTTGGATCAATCATGCTTTGGGGTTGTGTTGCAGCCAGTGGCACAGGGAACATCTCACAAGTAGAAGGAAAAATGGATTCAATAAAATTTCAGCAAATTTTGGATAGTAACTTGATGCAATCTGTGAAAAAGCTGAAGTTAAAGAGAGGATGGCTTCTACAAATGGATAATGATCCTAAACACACCTCGAAATCCACGGGGGATTACATCAAGAGGCGGTTTTGCCAAGGCCTTCACAATCTCCTGACCTCAAAATAATTGAAAATCTATGGATAGACCTTAAAAGAGCAGTGCGTGACAGACAGCCCAGAAATCTCAAAGAACTGGAAGACTTTCGTAAGGAAGAATGGGCAAAGATACCTCAAACAAGAATTGAAAGACTCTTGGCTGGCTACAAAAAGCGTTTACAAGCTGTGATACTTGCCAAAGGGGGCAGTACAAGATATTAACTCTGCAGGGTGCCCAAACTTTTGCAGACGCCATTTTTATGTTTTCTGTTATTTTGAAAGTGGAAATGATGGAAATAAAATCTAACTTTTGTTGACATATTATAAGAATGTCTAATCTGTAATTTGATGCCTTTTGGAGATTTTTCCATCTTCCTTGGCTTCTTTATGCACATTAATACAAATTTTTAGCTGGGGTGCCCAAACTTTCGATCCCCACTGTAGAACTATAGGCAAAACTTTTTTTTTTTTTCCATGTTGGATAGAGTAAGCCAGTAAACCCCTGCCAGTTTATTTTTTACCATCTGTATCACATTTGGGAGATTTCTCTTCACTTTCTGTCCCATAGCCAAAACAGGAAGTGAGAATATCTCTGCAAATTAAGGGAATTCCTCCAGGTCACCAGAATTAGTGTCCCCAATGGAAAATTTCCCTTCTATTAATTTTCTGGGGACGGCCCAAAATGTGGTGTTTCTTTTACTTTCACTTCCAATGATAATGGTAAACAAATAGAGAGGGGGAATCTCCCTAACAGGAGTACAGACTGCAATAAAAACCTGACAGGTGTTCTAATCCCTCTACACAGTTCAAAACGTAATAAAAAACATGTTTTGCCTTTAGTTATACTTAAAGTGGTTAAAAAACTCTTTTTTTTTTTTTTTAAAACGTAAAATTAAAAAAAGTTATACTCATCTGCTCTGTGCAATGGTACTGCAGAAAGCAGCCCCTTACCTCCTCTTCTGAGGTCCCCTGCCGAAGTGGTCTGCTCCTCCTATTCTGTGTGCACCCCCCATAGCAAGCCACCTGATATGGGGGCACACCTGCGGGTTTGCTCCTGAGATGGGCAATGTGCATTCATAGACAGGCAAGCCCCTGCTCCCTCCTTCCAAGATTTCATTGACATCAGGGGGAGCCACTGACTCTCGCTGCTATCAGTGCAGTCTGGGAGAGGGGAGATATGAACTGCAGCCGTGGTCAGCACTGGATCGATGTAGGAATCAGGTAAGTGTTTAGGGAGGGAGGTTTAGAGAAAACAGGCACTGGAAGGTTTTTTTTTTTACTTTAATGCATACGATGCAGTAAGGTTAAAAAAAAAAATTTAAAAAAAAAACACAGAAAACATTTAGAGTTTAGAACCATTCTAAAGTAGAACTATAGGCAATTTTTTTTTCATTATAGATAGAGTA